GCTATCATGTCCCCCCTCGTCCTTCTCTTCATTAAACTAGATATACCCAATTCCAGCAACTGTTCCTTATATGTTTCAGCCTCAAGTCCCCTAATCATCTTTGTTGTTCTTCTCTGTACTCTTTCTAGAGTCTCAGCATCTTTTTTTCATGACCTGGATGATTGAGAGTCTCCATATGAATTCTAATTCTTCCTTAAACATGAAAGCCAGTCACTTTCAGCCCAACCTACTTTATAGGGTTGCTGTTGCAAGCAAATAAGAAGTTGAAGCATTACGTATGCTACTTTGAATTTTACAAAATAAAAGCAGGATATAGATCTAATAATAAGCTACCTGGGGAAAACTTGTAGTAACATTAGAGCTGTGTTGGTTGGGGCTCACCCCATTTTATGCTGTGATGTTGACTGAAAATGCAGTTGATCTGCAGCAAAGCTTAGACTTCTGATTTTATGCAACAAAGAATACAATTTTAATATTAATATATGAAAGAGTAAGGTAGCTATGTTTGACATGAAAAGTGAAATAAACTATTGTACATTATACATATACTGAGTAAGTAAATTAATTTGTGCATTTTGGTAGACAATCCACTACATATGTGAAAAAATATGAAGACATGTTAAGATGTGTAAATGTGAGTAGAAAGGTAGTAGGTAATTTTATCTTTTCTGAGGAAGGAATTTGTCAAAAAAAGTAAAAATAGCTATGTGTAACTGTTGCTTACTTTGTTATTGTGACAGAAAAAGTGGACTGTGTGAGGAGAAACATCAACATTAAGTGTTTATTGCTGCATGAATGTGGATGTAATCCACTTACTCATTACATCACATGTAATGAGTGATCATTACAAAAGAAATATCTTATGGTGGGTTGATCACATAGAATTTAATGTGAGTTAAATCACCATCTATCAATGAAGGATGAGTTAATCAAAAGTGAAATTTTAAAAAACAAACAGGTATGTTTGAATTGGTTATATGGGCATGGTGAAAGGAAGGGTGGTTTCCAAGGATAAAACAATATGGAGAGGTATAACAACTGGTAGGTACAGCTGAATCTTCTTCCCTTCTTTTTGGTTACTAATTCTTACTCCTATTCTGGGCTTTGCATGATATTGTTCATGTGAACTGGAATAACACCGTGGTATGTATGCAGTTCATTTATGATCCTTTTGATATATCTACTGATGATCCTTGACAAATCATATTTCTTGTATCTTTCTCTTGACTAACTTCACTTCTCTGGTCAAGAAACAAAACATACCTTCTCATTCCATATCTGAAATATATAGTTTTGAAAGAAGCATAAATTCACTATGATTCATAGTGACCAATCTGGATTTTTAACTGGAAGATATATGAAATATAATGTAAGACAGATTATTAATTTATTGGAATATCTGGAAATGAATAATATCTGGAAATGAATAATCAAATTCCAGCTGCTTTTATATTTTTAGATGCTGAAAAAGCATTTGATCAATTGGATTGGGGTTTTTTGCTTCAGGTTATAGATAAAATGAATTTTGGGGAAAAAATTTTT